GTGTCTACCTTATCCTACGATATCTCCATTCAAAAACCCTTACGAAAAATGGTGCCAGCGGTGAGCCTGTAATCAAAAACGATTACAGCGTTTTCCCTGGAGATAAAAATGTCGACCAGCAAGAGGGCCATTTCGTGTGACCAGTAGGTCCTACCGACTACCGAGATTCACCCCATCCACTACCTCAAGCCAGCTACTCTAACCACTTCTACATTATTCACTGGTCAGTCTCTTTGTATTAGTGGTTATCTGCTTTTGCATTACTCCCGGGGGGGTTTTGACCCGAGTTTGCAAAATAAGCCAGTTTCCATCTGTGGTGGGGGAGTCAGAACACCGAGCCCAGTCCAGCCTAGCCTACTCCATCCAATTATTTTGCCTGCCAAGCCAGCTCTTCCACCCCTGCTGTGCCATCGTGTGAAGTTATCAAGCTATTCTGTGTGAAGGGTTAAGATAAGCCAGCTAGCAACTAACCCCGGTGTCTTACCCCAGACTCAAGCAAGCCACATGAGTAGTCTCCATCGCTTTTGATTCAAGTTCCAAGCATTCTGAGTGCTCCTTGTCATCCTTGTGGGGGTTGTAGTATTTCGTGGGGTTTTTTTTAAGCCAGCCGGCTTAGAATTATCTTCGCGGCAGTGTGGGTTTTCTCAGTGAGGCTTACGACGTTCAACCCATAAGCCCAGCCACTCACGATCACGTGTGTCGCAACCATTGCCGGTCTCAGACGCCTCGCTCAGCCAGTACCCACAAACCCAACTACAGTCGGCCATTACAACTCACCTACCTGAGTTGTGATGCAGAATATGAGGTGAAAAATTTACTGAGTTAATTCACTGGAATTCTGAAGTTTAAACACAATTTATATTGCTCATATGTTGCACACACAACAAAGGAAACACTAAGTACTTACTTCAAGTGTATAAAAAGATACACAACACAACAGATATAAAATAATGCACGAAAATTAACACTGAATTAAGGGGATTAAAGAAATGAATGCAATCAGTACATATAAACACTGAGTCTGATCAAGAGTCACTGAATGTCACTAAGAGAAAAATTCACTGGGAACACAAAAGAAATGTCTCAACACTCGCAAATGTCTCAAAAAAAAAAATATTATCGCTGTAACAACTTGAAGAATGAGACTGATAGGTTGTTTTATAAACGTCTTGCTGCTGTCCTCTGCACAGATGATCGTAGAATTGCGCTTAAATCGGCGAGAGACAACACACAGGGGGCTTTTAAAAGATGGCGCGCCACTCTCTAGCTCTTGACCCCCTATGTGGTCCTTAAAATATGGTGCTACAACCCTTAGCAGTGCACCAAAACACTGATGAGGTAGGTGAGTTGTAATGGCCGACTGTAGTTGGGTTTGTGGGTAATGGCTGAGCGAGGCGTCTGAGACCGGCAATGGTGCGACACACGTGATCGTGAGTGGCTGGGCTTATGGGTTGAACGTCGTAAGCCTCACTGAGAAAACCCACACTGCCGCGAAGATAATTCTAAGCCGGCTGGCTTAAAAGAAACCCACGAAATACTACAACACCACAAGGATGACAAGGAGCACTCAGAATGCTTGGAACTTGAATCACAAGCGATGGAGACTACTCATGTGGCTTGCTTGAGTACTGGGGTAAGACACCTGGGTTAGTTGCTAGCTGGCTTATCTTAACCCTTCACACAGAATAGCTTGATAACTTCACACGATGAGCACAGCAGGGGTGGAAGCTGGCTTGGCAGGCAAAATAATTGGATGGAGTAGGCTAGGCTGGACTGGGCTCGGGTGTTCTGACTCCCCCACCACAGACTGGAAACTGGCTTATTTTGCAAACTCGGGTCAACCCCTCGGGAGTAATGCAAAAGCAGATAACCACTAATACAAAGAGACTGACCAGTGAATAATGTAGAAGCTGGTAGAGTAGCTGGCTTGAGGTAGCTGGATGGGTGAATCTCGGTAGTCGGTAGGCCTACTGGTCACACGAAATGGCCGTCTTGCTGGTCGACATTTTATCTCCAGAAATCGCTGTAATCGTCAGAATTACAGGCTCACCGCTGGCACCATTTATCGTAAGGGTTCTTGAATGGAGATATCGTAGGATAAGGTAGACACACTTGTAGGATGGTAGGTGTATTGTCAGACTGAGATGAGAGATGGAGCCCGGTGCCTAGCCTGTTCACGCCTGTATGGACTGCCGCCGAGTGAGGACGGGACAGAGGGATCACTGCCCATGTGTATCCCTATGACGTCACACAAAGCCAAAGGCCTACGAGGGATCTCGTGTCTAAAGCACAGGGATGATACTAATATGCTATGCTATATAATACTGGGAATACAGGGATCAGCAACTATGCTGACATAGACCTGCTGCAGTGTTCCTTCTTTCTTATGTTCTTAAATAATAGAATGTATATATCTAACCTTTTTTTTTTAATTTCACAACGTTTTAGCTTCTATAACGGTACTCGGGAGTTTGTTCCAATTATCCACAACTCTATTACCAAACTAGTGCTTTCCTATATCCTTTCTGAATCCGGTTTTTTCCAACTTAAACCCAATGCTTCTCTCTATCCTCCTATACCTCTTGGTTTCTTTCCCTTTCGTCCCTCTCTCTCAGCCTTCCTCTCAACAGATCATGGTGAGCGTGAACGCGGAGACACTGTGGACCTGGCTAGGACATCGACCTCGTCGTCCCCAAAGATCAAGGAAGAAAAATAAGAGGTATGGAATACCTGTGGTTTTAATCGATGGGTTCTCTAACCTCTTCAGCCCTGATTGATACCAGATTCATTTGTAGATGAATGGTTCAGAGAACCGACATGCTGATAAATTAGAAACATGTGCAACTCTTAGGTATCTTTATTAAGGAAACGTTTCGCCACACAGTGGCTTCATCAGTCCATAGATTGATGGACTGAACACATCGACTCAAGGTTGAGGGACTGATTACCTCATTCTCCTCCTGTTCTTCAAGTTTCTCCTACGTATGGACTGATGAAGCCACTGTGTGGCGAAACGTTTCCTCAATAAAGATACCCAAGAGTTGCACATGTGTCTAATTTATCACCAGATTCCTTGTTGACAACCTGTTCGACCAAGTTGATGCCGCTGACAACCAGCATATATGATTCAAGCAATTTTTTATTTACAAGCACCAGGCTTCTTGGTATTTGCATATTGTTAATTTTTGTGTGTTTGTGTGTGTTTGTATTTGTGTTTCATTGCGTGTGTTATAGTCAATTTAGATGTTTGTCTTTGCGTGCAAGACGGATATCCTTTATTGTGCATTTATGCGTCTTTGTGTTTGTGCGAGTTTTGAAACTGGTGTGTTTGTTTGTGTTTGAGTAAGAACAAATAAGTTTGTGTAACTGTTCATTTTGATTATGTACTAGATTAATTTCACAAGTACTACAGAATTAATACTATTTACGTGCTCCTCCAGCGAAGTGTCTCGTATGATTTTTATTCCCAGATACGTTTCTTTTGCCGATTTTTAGATTCTTTTTTCTCAGTCTGTTCTATAGCTTCGGCTACTACTTTATTTTCTCAGTTTGTATAAATTCCTTCAAGGCTTCATTTTCTTCTCCTTCTCGTATCTTAAATGGATCCATATCATCTGAAAACCAGAGATCGACACCATGCCTAACCCTTCTAGGGTAGGGTAGGTGCCTGAGCCCTAGCCTTTAGCTCATAAGACTGTCATTCCCATTAGCCCCCTTGGGGCGGGGATGGCAGACCAGAGAGGCCTAGCTTGTGGCTAGGCCTGGGGACAGTTGGTCCCAAAGATGAGGAGGTACTTGTGCCTCCTCCCATGGGAGACTTAGGTCTCAGACACTCCCTAAAGAGGGAGCCAAGGCCGGGCCACCACTTGGAAAAGGCCCGGGCCGGGAGAATACCGGCTAATCTTTAACTAACTAACTGAAAACCAAGTCACGGAATTTGATTTCCTCTAGATGAAAGTTATTCAGGGATTTTTCCGGCCGATTTAAGGATTAATAGTTTATCAGGAAACACTTTAACTTGCTGCTAAAAGTCACCAAGTAATCCAAGATCCCACAGGACCTTCCAGGAAGCGAGGTATCTGCCACTTTCTTATCTTCTGATATTCTTCCTATCAGGGTTCCAGTATCTACCTTTCCTGCGTCCTTAAATCTAAGAATATATAAAAATATTCTTGCAATAATCATAATTATAATTCAAGGGGAAATATTTATGTACACACTAATAATAATTCATGCAATGTTTAACAAAATAATGTGATGAACGTTATCTATTATCATTACCAAAATATATCCTGCATGGTTTAAATTCTTAAATATATAACTCATGAACACCATGAACTGTGAATATATATAATTTATATGCTTAGATAAGTCTTTCAAAATGTTACATGGTATAAATAAATGTACCACATTTCCACTTACATTGGTTATATAGTGTAAGTGTTAATAACGCATTGCCCAGGAATAGCAGTTAATCGGCCAATTAGATTGCTCATCACTTAGCTGGTGTACAGCTGGAAGTTTTCTCTCATAACAAATTTTTTGTGTACGAATGGTATATAATACCGACAAGATGAGATTAAGACACATGTGCAACATCTGGGTGTCTTTATTGTAGACGTTTCGCCATCCAGTGGCTTTATCAATACAAATTCTAGGACATAACTTGAAGACAGTAGAACTATGTACAGAAGATGAGGTAATCAGTCCCTCAACCTAGGAGTAGGTGCGAAGAGCACCTCCACGACTATGGTGCTCTTCGCACCTACTCCTAGGTTGAGGGACTGATTACCTCATCTTCTGTACATAGTTCTACTGTCTTCAAGTTATGTCCTAGAATTTGTATTGATAAAGCCACTGGATGGCGAAACGTCTACAATAAAGATACCCAGATGTTGCACATGTGTCTTAATCTCAACAAATTTTTTACAGGTTGTTACTCAGAACATATTTAGAGAATGGACCAAAATTTCAGAAAATATTTTTTTTTAATGTTCCAGACCTCAACAAGGAGTAATCGAATCATCCTCCGACAAAGATAAGAATGCAGAAGGTAAGAATGAAGCAGAGGCAGAACAACAGAGAGAGATAGAAGAACAGGATCAGGAGACATTGAAGCTAAAAATACTGGAGAACGAAGGCGATGAGGAAGAGGAGGAGGAGGAAGAGCTGATAAGGGAGAGGGAGGAGTATTTATCTCGAGTGACACATCTCCACCTGGCAAGGAAATCAATCACACATATTGTGAGTCTCTGCCCAGTACCTGTAATATTATGAAGTCCTTTTTAAATAAAATTTAGAAATCACTGAAGTAGTTCACTTTCTTCCGGATGGACTAAGATGGTCACTTTTTCCATTACTTTTCACTTAGAGTCATGAACATATGACAGCAGGAGAAACTAATAATTTGTATCTTACGTGGCTATTATTATAAAGAATGCCTTTTTGATGGGTTAACCTTAAATACCTTTCTTAAAAATGCTTCAAGTTCATAAAATCTTTTCGAGTAGTGTTGTATTAACTTTATAAATCCTCCATGTACAATAAATTAGACGTAAAAAGCCTTTTAAGTGGCGAGTAGCTTTATAAATCTTCCTTAAATGATGGTATACATTTAAAAACATTTTTTTTCTGATAAGTTAGCCACATAAATTCCCCCCATATGATGACTGCCTTTTTTAAAGCCAAATTTCTTGATAGATTAAATATTTTAATTCTTTCCTTCTTTAGTAGTTTACCTAATATTTAGGTAAGATTTCAATGGTTTAACTTTATTATGGTTTTGTTTTTAAGCTTCATTTCTAGAAAAGTTAGCCATTAAAACTTCTTTCCTACAGATAATCTGTTTCCTTTCCTTGAATGTTAGATTCATTCTCGATATTCTTCTTCCTAAATTTGTTGCTTCTCGTACAAGGTTCCTTCATGATGAATTAGCCATTGAAGGGCATCTTCGATCACCAAAATAGGACTGTTTTTTTTTCCAATTCCATTCTAGATGAGACACTAGAGCAATCCAGGTATGAATTTGAATAATCTGAAGCAATGGTCGGAGTAGTGCAGATGCAGTTTAATATGACAAATGCAAAGTTCGTAAATGTTGGACAGTTAAATAAACCAAGCCACATATCAACAAATAATGAAAAGGATTTAGAGGAATTCTTGGTTAGCAGAAATCTAAACCAAGACAACAGTGTATTAGTGTTCGCAATAAAGCAACAAATCCTTGCCCTTTCCCCCCCCATATCAGAAGTATAAATAATAGAAGGTCCTCAGGTTGTTCTTCAACTCTAATATCGCTGGTTAGGCCTCAATTTAGACTATGCTGCTCAGTAGGTCACCGTATTACAGAATAGATTATAAATCCTGGAAAACGTAACAGAGGAGGATGACAAAGTTGATCCCATGGTATCAGAAATCTTCCCTATGAGGACAGACTAGGTTTCTGATCTGCACTCTTAGAAAGCGTAGAATTTAGGGGGGGATATGATCGAGGTGTATAAATGGAAAAACAGGAATAAATAAAGGGAAAGTAAATAGTAATGCTGAAATTTTCCCAGCCAAAACCAGGACTTGCAGCAATGGTTTCAAGTTGGAAAAATTCAGATTCAGGAAGATATAGGAAAGCGACTGGTTTGTAATAGAGTTTGTGGAAGAGTGAACAAACTCCCGAGTTTGTGTAGTTTTAAAAATAGGTTAATAAATACATGAAGTGGGTGTGGGTGGGTGTGAGTTGACCTGACTAGCTTGCCAACTAGGATTTTTTGATGGCCGTGCACCATCCTTAAGTGGAAGTGACCTTGACTAGGTGGGACAATTTGAGGTATCGGGGGGGGCATGGACCTGCTTCGCATGGGTCAGTGAGGCCTGCTGCAGTGCTCCTTTTTCTTATGTTCTTATGTTCCTATCACTTGGCAAGATTTCAAACCTTCCTTCTGTGAGAGGTTAGCATTCTGAAGCCTTTCTTCATGATTTGTTAACCACTTAAAATCTTCCCTTAGAAAGTTTAGGAAACCGCATGAATTCAAGTTTGAGTTTAAAAAAAAAATTCTCATTTCAGTTCAGAAAAAACTATTCGTCTGATACATCTCAAACTTTAAAGTTGGTTGTCTTATTACAAGAAGTCTTAGTTTAACCTATGAGTGAGGTAAGGAGGCGAATATGCAAATCTTATTGAAGGAATTAAAATACTGGTGATAAGACGAAAATTGTGAATGACTCATTTCTGATCAGCTTCATATCTTCAGCGGAGATATATCTTAAACAGATAAGCTTACGACTGTAACTTTCGGTGATAAATTGCAATTAAGACTATATCGAGAAAAACTGTGCCGTAATTGGAGAATATTTTATCCGATGAACTTTACTAGGATTGAATAGGATTCGTTTTGAGGGTGTACTGGTACCAAATTTTAATATTTTAATGAGAAATTGGGACATTTTTACAATGTGATGACTTTTGATTGCCTGTTCCTCATTAGCTACCAATCATAAATGCTGATATTAACAATATTATAATCTTATATCCTAATTTGTACTATTTTGCTAGCATGCAGTGATGCACAGAGCCTATTTATTTATTATGTAACTGCATTAAAAACTTACACTGCATCCGGAAGTATGCATTTTGCTTGCATTGGGGGTGTAGGGAGATGGGGTTATAGTGGGATTTGGTGTACTATTCCATTCCATGCGCTGGGCTGGATACAGTGGAAGACCTGGTAAGGTATCCTATCTACAAGGAGGGGACGTTTCAGTAGTTGACATAATTCTGTTTTCTTCTTCCACTGTTTTCATGTATAACTTTGCTTCATATCATCAGCCCTCGTGGACTATAACTTAGAGAAGGTTCATGAAACTATTGGGATAGGCAGGTGCCTATCGATTGCTTTATAAAGTCATTTCTATTTTCTATGCTATAACTTCAGAAAGTCTCATCTCTCTCTCTCTCTGAATGTGTGGAGTGCAAACCATGTCAAGCTGATCCTACAACTAGAAAGCCAATGCTACAATCACAGTTAAATAACATTCCTTCAGTTTTTCATATATCTCAACAGTATTGCAGATTAGATATACACAACAACGGGATGCGGTGTCATTTTATGCTAAAAAAATAATATGGGGGAGAATTAAAAGCATACTTTTATAATGTTTTGTAAAACAACACAAGGTAACACATCTTTACTGTGCAGTATTCTGCAAGTGTTTTCTTAGCGCTGTGTCAACAATGCGACTGTAAGTACACAGATAAACTGGGAAAAATCTTTCAATCCGCATTCATTGTAACATAATAAATGAAGATGTATGTTGGTAGTAGGTTGGTAGACAGCAACCACCCAGGGAGGTACTACCGTCCTGTGGTAGTAGGATGGTAGACAGCAACCCACACCCAGGGAGGTTACTACCTCCTGTGGTAGTAGGTTGGTAGACAGCAACCACCCAGGGAGGTACTACCGTCCTGTGGTAGTAGGTTGGTTGACAGCAACCACCCAGGGAGGTACTACCGTCCTGTGGTAGTAGGTTGGTGACAGCAAACCACCGCAGGGAGGTACTACCATCCTGTGGTAGTAGGTTGTTGACGTAGCAACCACCCAGGAGGTACTACCGTCCTGTGGTAGTAGGTTGGTCACAACAACCACCCAGGAGGGTACCAACCGTCCTGTGGTAGAGGTAGGTTGACAACAACCACCCAGGAGTACTATCGTCTCGTGTATAGGTTGTTGACAACAAACCACCCAGGGAGGTACTACCGTCCTGTGGTAGTAGGTTGGTTGAAACAGCAACCACCCAGGGAGGTACTACAACCGTCCTGTGGTAGTATGTTGTTGACAACCAACCACTCCAGGGAGGTACTACCGTCCTGTGGTAGTAGGTTGGTTGACAGCAAACCACTCAGGGAGGTACTACCGTCATGTGTAGTATGTTGGTTTACAGCAACCACTCAGGGAGGTACTACCGTCCAGTGGTATAGGCGGTTGGTTGACAGCAACCACTCAGGGAGGTACTACCGTCTCTTGTGGAGTAGGTTGGGATGACAGCACCACTCATGGAGGTATATACCGTCCTGTGTAGTAGGTTTGGTTGACAGCAACCCTCATGGAGTACTACCGTCCCTGTGGTAGTAGGTTAGGTTGACAACAACCACCCAGGGAGTACTACCGTCCTGTGGTAGTAGGTTGTTGACAGCAACCATCAGGGAGGTACTACCGTCCTGTGGTATAGGTTGGTAGACACAACCACCCAGGGAGGTACTTCCGTCCTGTGGTAGTAGGTTGTTGAAAGCAACCAACCCAGGGAGTACTACCGTCCCTGTGGTAGTAGGTTGGTAGACAGCAACCACTCAGGGAGGTACTACCGCCTTGTGGTAGTGAGTAGGTTGGTAAACAAGAACCACCACCCCAGGAGGAACTACCGTCCTGTGGTAGTAGTGTGGTTGACAGCAACCACCCAGGGAGTTACCACCGCCCTGTGGTAGTAGGTTGGTAGACAGCAACCACCTCCAGGGAGGTACTACCGCCTTGTGGTAGTAGGTTGGTAGACAAGAACCACTCCCAGGGAGGACTACCGTCTGTTGTAGTAGGTTAGGGTAGAACAGCAAACCACCCTGGGAGGTACTACCGTCCTGTGTAAGTGAGTTGGTTGACAACAACCACCCAGGGAGGTACTACCGTCCCTGTGGTGAGTAGTTGGTTGACAGCACCCACCCAGGGAGGTACTACCGTCATCCTGTGTAGTAGTTGGTAGACCTCAATCACCAAGGAGGTACTTACTACCGTCCTGTGGTAGTAGGTTGGTAGACCACCAACCACCCAGGGAGGTACTATACCGTCCTGTGGTAGTGAGGTTGGTAGACACCAACCTCCCAGGGAGGTACTACCGTCGTTCTGTGGTTAGTAGGTTGGTAGACAGCCACCACCCAGGGAGTACTACCGTTCTGTGGTAGTAGGGTTGGTAGACAACAACCCACCCAGGAGGTACTACTACCGTCCTGTGGTAGTAGGGCTGGTAGACAAGCAACACCCAGGAGGTACTACCGTCCAGTGTAGTAGGTTTGGTTGAACAACAACCAACCCAGGGAGGTAACTACTGTCCGTTGTAGAAGGTTTGGTTTTGACAACAACCAACCCAGGGAGATACTACCGTCCCTGTGGTAGTAGGTGGTTGACAACCACCCTGGGAGAGTACTACCGTCCTGTGGTAGTAAGGTTTGGTTACAACAAACCACCCAGGGAGTACTACCGTCCTGTGGTAGTAGGTTGGTTGACAACAACCACCCAGGAGGTACTACCGTCCTGTGGTAGTAAGGTTGGTTGACAACAACCACCCAGGGAGTACTACCGTCCTGTGGTAGTATGTTGTTTGACAACAACCACCCAGGGAGGTACTACCGTCCTGTGGTAGTAGGTTGGTAGACAACAACCACCCCGGGAGGTACTACCGTCCTGTGGTATAGACGACTGGTAACAACAACCACCCAGGGAGGTAATACCGTCCTGTGGTAGTAGGTTGGTTGACAACAACCACCCAGGGAGGTACTACCGTCCTGTGGTAGTAGGTTGGTTTGACAACAACCACCCAGGAGTTACTACCGGGGGGGGGGCGGGTCCCTGGGGCGGGGGGGGGGTGCCTGCCGAGCCGTCCTAGTCTGCCAAGTGAGTGTGAAATGGAATCCTGTGATTGCTTTACACAATGATATGAATGCTTGTGTATTTTCTGTTTCATAAATACGGAAGAAAACAGGTACTTCTTGCTACTTCTACTTTCACTAAACATACAGAAGATTATTTAGGTAAAGGAAAAAACGTTTTTGTTGCATTTATGGTTTTGGAAAAGGCATATGATAAGGTGGACAGGGGAGGCAATGTTGCAGGTGTTCCAAATGTATGGAATAGGTGGTATGTTACTGAAAGCAGTGACGAGATTTTTACGAGGATAGTGAGGTTCAGGTTAGAGTACGTAAGAGAGAGGGAGATTAGTTTCCAGTAAAAGTAGGCCTTAGACATGGTTGTTCAATATATTTATAGATGGGATTGTAAGAGAAGTGAATGCTCGGTTGTTGGCAAGAGGTGTGGGATTGAAAGATAAAGAATCTAACACAAAGTTTGAGCTGTCACAGTTGCTTTTTGCTGATGACACTGTGCTTTTGGGAGATTCTGAAGAGAAGTTGCGGAGGTTGGTGGATGAATTTGGTAGGGTATGTTAGAGAAGGAAATTAAAAGAGGAAGGCGATGAGAAAAACAAAAAAAATTAGGTAATGAAGGATTAGATATCAGACTGGAGGGGGGCAGTAAGGTGGAAGTGAATGTATTCAAATATTTAGGAGTAGACTTGTCAGCAGATGCGTCTATGAATAACGAGATGAATAACAGAATTGATGAGAGGAAAAAGGTAAGTGGTGCACTGAGGAGTCTGTGGAGACAAAGAACTTTATCCATGGAAGCATAGGGGAATGTATGAGAGTATGGGTGGTGAATGTTGCAACAAGAAGAAGGCAGTGGAGGTCGTGTCGAGGTTACCTAAAAATATATCCCAGATGGGCTTGATGAGGAGTTGTTAAGTTGGTATTGGTCTTTAGAGAGGATTGAACAAAACAAACTGGGATTTGGAGAGCGTATAAGAAATCTGCAGTGGAATGAAGGGCGTGGTAGGGTCGTCCTAGGAGGAAAGGTATGGAGGGAGGGGGTAAAGGAAGATTTAGGTATTTGATGTTTTTGGGCTCCCAGGAAGCGTGCGTGAACGTGTTAGGTGCGTGTGGAGATAACTAGTTTTAATGGCTTTACGTTCAGTTGGAGTGTAAGCAAAGTAATATTTATGGAGGGAATCAGGGAAGCCGGCAAGCCGGACTTAAGTACTGGAGGTGGGAAGTACAGTGCCTGCACTCCATCACTATCTAACTCTGGCAAGACAGTGATGGAGTGAATGATAATGATAGTGCTTCTTCTTTTTTTCGGGCCAACACCCTGCACGGTGGGAACCTGCTAAATTTTAGCCTGGAAGTAATCATCACTAACCTAACAGAAGCCTCTTGTTGGTGATCGTATAAGATGCTATAAGCATAAGTCCGAATAATACTTGAGATTAAATGTGAAGCACAACTGAAGCACATTTCGATTTCCTAAAGTATAGAGCTCAGTTACAATACGGGAATTGTAACACCAGTACATCTCTTCAGTAAACCCAAAACCAGTATCTCAAGGTATAACGTTCACAAACCTTTTATATAATTAAAAATAACATGAAATTTGATAAAAATATTAGTCAAGCATGGACTAAGTCACAGTGTGGAATTTTAACACATTCAGCACTGAAAACTGAAACAGAAGTTTCCTCCTCAGATACCCACAGAGAACTTTGTACCTTCCATGAACCGAAGAACAATTAAATAAGGTTAATAAATACCAATGAACTCTCTTTTAGTTCTAAATATTCAGATTTCCTCAGTCTACACATATATATTATATATGAGATAGGGTTAAGAATAAAGAAATTTTTTTCTCTTTGGTAAATTTACTAAAAAAAGACTCTCATTATTAGATTTTCTTATTTAGCAGAAATAACCAAAAATTATATTGAAAAGTTTAGTGAAAATCAAGGACAAGGATGAACTAGTATACTATATTATGGGTTTTGTTTAACAGTTGATAGGAACTTTCTCCTCATTACAATACTCAGCACTTGTCATCAGTCATCATCCTCATATCCGACATAGACAAGGATGTCAGCCACAGCACCGTGTCTTCCTTTGCAGATGACACCCGAATCTGCATGACAGTGTCTTCCATTGCAGACACTGCAAGGCTCCAGGCGGACATCAACCAAATCTTTCAGTGGGCTGCAGAAAACAATATGAAGTTCAACGATGAGAAATTTCAATTACTCAGATATGGTAAACATGAGGAAATTTAAATCTTCATCAGAGTAACAAAGCCAAACTCTGGCACAAAATAGAGCGAAACACCAAAGTCAAAGACCTGGGAGTGATTATGTCGAGGATCCTCACCTTCAGGACCATAACATTTGTTCAATCGCATCTGCTAGAAAAATGACAGATGGATAATGAGAACCTTTTCAAAACTAGGGAGGCCCAAGCCCAAGATGACATTCTTCAGGTCGACATTGTTCCTATCTAGGCTGGAATATTGCGCACTCATAACACACCTTTCAAGCAGGTGAAATTGCCGACCTATAAAATGTACAGAGAACCTTCACGGCCGCAATAACGGAGATAAAACACCTCAATTAATGGAGCGCTTGAGGTTTCTAAACCTGTATTCCCTGGGAACGCAGGAGGGAGAGAATAGCATGATTATATATACCTGGAAAATCCTAGAGGGACTAGTACCGAACTTGCACACAAAATCACTCACTACAATGCAAAAGACTTTGGCAGACGATGCCCATCCCCCTCATATAAAAAGCAGGGGTGTCACTAGCACGTTAAGAGACCATACAAAAAGTGTCGAGGGGCCCCGAGACTGTTCAACTGCCTCCCAGCACACATAAAGGGGGATTACCAACAGACCCCTGGCAGACTTCAACTGGCACTACTGGACAAGACCTACAAGTCAGTTCCTGTATTCAGCCGGGCTGTGGGCTTCGTTACGTTGGTTTGCGGTGTCAGGCAGCACAAACAGCCTGGTTTGATCAGCGCTGATCCACCAGGAGGCGAGCCTGGTCAGCGGACCGGCCGCGGGGAGCGTTGGCCCCCGAGGCTCTCTCCAGGTAAACTTCCTCTCCTCTCCATCACTGTAGAAAGGAAATTATTAAGGTCTTCCACAACAATAGATAAAGAGAGATTTCTTACAGAGTGTTCTTCCAGTTGGAGTTTTTTCTGAGAAAGTCTACAACCTTAAAGGTAGTTCATTAACTGCGTGTTTCCAGGAAAACGTGAGTGCATGTCCTGGAGCGAGGGTGGTGTTCCTCCAGCATAATCACCTCACTCGCCTGGCCAACCTCCGTCCCTTGAGGAACCTGCAAGAACTCTATCTTCAAGACAACCACATCACCAGGTGAGTACCTCCAGGATGGCCACATCACCAGGTGAGAACGACCAGGATGAACACATGACCAGGTGAGAATGACCAGGATGACCACATCACCGGGTGAGTACCTCCAGGATGACCACATCTCTAGGTGAGTGCCTCCAGGATGACCACATCACCAGGTGAGAACGACCAGGATGGCCACATCACCAGATGAGAGCGACCAGGATGAAAACATCACTAGGTGAGTACCTCCAGGATGACCACATCACTAGGTTAGTACCTCCAGGATGACCACATCACCAGGTGAGAACGACCAGGATGACCACATCACCAGGTGAGAACGACCAGGATGACCACATCACTAGGTGAGTACCGCCAGGATGACCACATCACCAGGTGAGTGCCGCCAGAATGACCACATCACCAGGTGAGTACCTCCAGGATGACCACATCACAAGGTGAGTACCTCCAGGTTGACCACATCACTAGGTGAGTACCTCCAGATGACCACATCACCAGGTAAGTACCTCCAGCATGACTACATCATCATATGGTTCTCTCCAGGACTACTACGTTCCCAGTGGATACCACCACACAGCAACACACAACACACACACCACACACACCACCACACACACAACACACACACACACACACACACACACACAAATCACCAGTACACCTAACCGAGAAGAAGTGAAGAGGCTTCCTGAGTGAGCTAGATACCTCAAAGCAATGTGGGCTAGATAACATCTCCCCCATGGTCCTGAGAGGGGAGCAGAGGCGGCTATGTGAACCCCTAACAACAATATTCAATACATTATCGAACATGGAGAACTGCCTGAGGCATGGAAGACCGCAAATGTAGTCCAAATCTTAAAAAAAGGAGACAGACATGATGCCTAAAACTACAGACCAGTGTCAATGACATGTATAGTATGCAAAATCATGGGGGAAGATTATCAGGAAAAGAGTGGGGGAACACCTAGAAAGGAATGATCTCAACAACAGCAGCCAACATGGTTTCAGGACGAAATCCTGTGTCACAAAACCTACTGGAGTTCTATGACATGGTGACAGCAGTAAGACAAGAGAGAGAGAGGGATGGGTGGATTGCATTTTCTTGGACTTCAAGAAGGCGTTTGACACAGTTCCACACAAGAGATTACTGCAAAAACTGGAGGACCAAGCAGGGATAGCAGGGAAAAGGGACTACAATGGATCAGGGAATACTTGTCAGGAAGACAGCAGCGAGTCATGGAACGTGGTGAGGTGTCAGAGTGGGCACCTGTGACCAGCGGGGTCCCACAGGAGTCAGTCCTAGGACCAGTGCTGTTTCTGGTATTTGTGAACATGACGGAAGGAATAGACTCCGAAGTGTCCCTGTTTGCAGATGACGTGAAGTTGATGAGAAGAATTCATTCGATCAAAGACCAGGCAGAACTACAAAGGGATCTGGACAGGCTGCAGACCTGGTCCAGCAATTGGCTCCTGGAGTTCAACCCCACCAAGTGCAAAGTCATGAAGATTGGGGAAGGGCAAAGAAGACCGCAGACGGAGTACAGTCTAGGGGGCCAGAGACTACAAACCTCAATCAAGGAAAAAGATCTTGGGGTGAGTATAACACCAGGCACATCTCCTGAAGCGCACATCAACCAAATAACTGCTGAAGCATATGGGCGCCTAGCAAAACCTCAGAACAGCATTCCGACATCTCAATAAGGATTCGTTCAGGACCCTGTACACCGCGTACGTTAGGCCCATATTGGAGTATGCGGCACCAGTTTGGAACCCACACCTAGCCAAGCATGTAAAGAAACTAGAGAAAGTGCAAAGGTTTGCAACAAAACTAGTCCCAGAGCTAAGAGGTATGTCCTACGAGGAGAGAGGTTAAGGGAAATCAACCTGACGACACTGGAGGACAGGAGAGATAGGGGGGACATGATAACGACATACAAAATACTGAGAGGAATTGACAAGGTGGACAAAGACAGGATGTTCCAGACATGGGACACAGAAACAAGGGGACACAGTTGGAAGCTGAAGACACAGATGAATCACAGGGATGTTAGGAAGTATTTCTTCAGCCACAGAGTAGTCAGTAAGTGGAATAGTTTGGGAAGCAATATAGTGGAGGCAGGATCCATACATAGCTTTAAGCAGAAGTATGATAAAGCTCAAGGTTCAGGGAGGGTGACCTAGTAGCGACCAGTGAAGAGGCGGGGCCAGGAGCTTGGACTCGACCCCTGCAACCTCAACTAGGTGAGCACAACTAGGTGAGTACACACACGCACACACACACATGCTTCGAAATACGATACTACTGGAAAACATTTAGATGCAAGTTTAGATGTGGCACTTTTATAGTGAGTTGGCCCATTTGTAAGACCAACTTGTGAAGGACGTAAGGAAAATGTGACAGTTGACTGCAGGAAGTGTGTTGAACGTAGTGATGCACAATGTCATCGATGTAGTTGAAGTTTTGGCAGTAAAGACTGAAAACCAAAATTTTGTCATTGTGTTCGTATACAAGCTTCATGATTAAACTTCTCAACAATTCCAGGAACAGCTTTTGAAAAGTGGCCCCCTGTCTGGAAAAACTCCCCAAATCCTGCCCAAAACATCTTGCTGCTGGGTTTTTCAGCTTTAAGGGCACCTAACATGGAGGGTGTAACAAAAAATGTTATAGAAACATAAACCCCAGGGGCAGCTCAGATGAAAATTCACAAAACACAAAGAGCCCAAATTAAAACTCTGCAACAAATTC